TGGGGGGTGATTTTTCGCTTTCTGTCTCTCTGTCTCTCTGTCTGGCGAGCGCATGCGCCCTATAGCAAAAACCTCTCCAAAAAATAATAAGTAAGTAGACTGACACTAAATCTTTTTATAAAGAAGCACACAATGAGGTGGGGCCAGCACACAGCATGATGGTGAAGGCACTGGACTCCCATATGGCCAACCATGGTTCTGCCCCAGACCTGATGACTTGAAAATCACGCCAGATACATGTGTGCGTATATCCAGAAAACCAGGAGGAAAATAGATTGCTATGTGGCCATCCTCCCTGGGGATGATTTCTTACTCTCCTTCTCACTGTGTGTGTGTGTCTCTCACAAGTCATGCACCCTATGGCAAAAACCTTTAAAAAAATAAAAGGCATCGTACTATCTCATATTTTTATAACTATATTTTAATATAACTGGTTCTCTTTGTAGTCCTATCTATTGAACATTAACATATTTCTCAGAAAAGGGGTTCTGAGTGGCCAAAAGGGCCTGTAGAACAAAAGGGGTTAAGACACTGTCCCACAATCCCTGCAGAAACTCTCTTCTCCTCCTTCAGACTTGACAGCATGAGGACATAGAGACTCATGCAGGGTTCTGATTCAACAACATGGTTCTAGGGTCTGTGATGGCAAGAACCCTCCCACACAAATTCTACAATGTTTTACTGGGGTTTATGCCTGGAAACTGTTCAATCTGTTCACCCAGCTCACTCAAAGTGTGTGTATCTTTCTCTTTCTAAATATTTGCAACAACTAGAGCAAATGCTCTTGCTACAAAGATTCTTAAAATTAAGTACAAAGTAAACAGGAATTTACAAAAGAAGCTTCCTCTAAGTAATTAGAAACCTAAAGAGGTGATAGTTTGTGGATATAGATGTAGGTATGGCCTGGACAGACCCATAACTAAGAAGCCCTAAGAGGTAAAGGCTGGATTACGTGGAGCAATAAAGTATCAAGAACAGAGCTTTAGATCATCTAGAAGCAAAAGAGCTGCCAGCAAAGAAGAGAAATAAGAGAAAAGCAAGGAACCAAGAGGGGGACAGGCAAGCAGTAGGCCAACAGCGGCGTAACAGTAAACCACCATGCTCTGTGAGCGCATCCAGTTTGGAGACCTCCCTAAGTACACAAGGCACAGGTCTGCCCATGATCCAGGGTTGGTGATGGCTGGGAGTGGACTGTTGATTATTTCATTTCTCAAAATTATCAATGGGCACAGAATAATACTTCAACTTGTCTCAACTACCCTTGTCTCCTACTATTTCTTTACATTAGAACTTCTAATCACACAGTGTTATCAAAACAAACAAACAAAAAATCTCTTTTCTGGATCCTTAAATAAAAGCCTATCTTATATCTTAGTTCAGCTAAGCTAACACAATGCATTACCGTGGGTCGTTTATAAACAAATGTATTACTCACAGTTTTGGGAGCTGGGAAGTTCAAGATGAAGGCATCAGCAGATTTGGCACCTGGTGAGGGCCCATTACTCATGGATGGCACCTTACTGCTGTGTCCTCACTTGATGGAAGGAGCAAAACGCTCCCTCAAGCCTCTTTTACATGGGCACTAATCCCATTCATGAAGGTTCTGTCCTCATGACCTAATCGTCTCCTGAAGTCCCCCACCATTTTTTAAAAGAATTATTTTATTTAACTTTATTTATTTACTTATTTTCATTTGACTAGAATGAAAGAGAGACAGAGAGAGAGAGCAAGCCACCAGGTCCAGGACTTGAACCATGGTGAGTCATGTGGGAGTATCCAGTGCCCCAACCACCAGGCCACCTATTGGCCCCCTACCCCCCACCTTTTAATGCTATCACTTTGGGGATTTAGTTCCAACACTAGATGGGGAAGCAGGTGGAGCAATATTTAAACCATAGAGGCCCAATTCAAGAGCCACATCTAGGAAGACTTCTCTGGCAGTCCCGGTTAACTCCTCTGAAGTCATACATTTATTTTATTTCGGTTCAGATATTTAACCAAAAGCTAAACTAAATTATCAGCTTAAACACAGCAGGGGCTATGTTCTTCACCACCCAAATGTGTTACTAACAAGTGGGCCCTTTGAACAGGTCGTTTCAGGAGACTGTTGGATTACAGAAATTTTAAAAGCTAATTAAACTGGGACCAGCAGTTAGCGTAATGGCTATGTCGCTGGACTCCCATGTAGTCAACAGTGGTTTGAGTCCCAGACCCGGTGGCTTGAACTCACACTGGGTGCGGGTGCGTGCGTGCCCAAGATCCTGAGAGGAGAATGGAGAAGGGACTGCAGCGTGGCTATCCCCCCAGGGGGTGATTTCTCCCTTTCTGTCTGTCTCTGTCTTTCTGGTGAGCAAACACACCCTATAGCAAAAACCTCTCCAAAAAAAGAAAAAGCTAATTAAACTGACATGCAAGGAGGCATGAAGGAATATTTTGTAGTGAAGGTAATGTTCTATAACTTGACAGTAGTAAGGGTTATGCAGATGTATGAACTTGTCTAAATAGAGGAATGGTATATACACAATTCAAGCATTTTACTCTGTCATTTTTACCTAAAAACAAAAAAAACTAAACAAATAATGATTGATATGCACGCCAAGGTAGTATAAAGCATACTTACTTTGAAGTACAAAGAAAACTGGCAAATGGACAGAGTGACAGCTGGTGGTAAAACAAATGGCAAAACAGCAATTACAGAGGCAAGGTAGTGGGAAATTAGGTAATCAATGTATAAACAATTCACCTTTTCGGTAAGACCGAAATTTCTCAGTATAAACTGTAAGAAAAAGAAAGCAAAGACTGGAAATAAAGGTTGAGCGATGCTCAAGTTCCATGAAGGACTGGCTCTAAGAAAAGAAAGGTACAGACACATCTGGGAGTTGAAAGAGAAGGGGTATTTAGATCGCCCCTCTTCTCTCTAGCTCTCACTTTAGATTGCCACACAGACTAGTTCTGACCTTGAGTGTTTGTTCTTGCCTCAAAGTAAGTGCTAGCTACTCACTAAACTTGATTCGTTCTAGGACAACCTCAATCTGTGCAGTCTAGGCCCTTTGTCTGTCTTGCGCTATGATAATCTATCCTCTATTCGTTCCGCCTGTATTGCTAACACCTCCTTAAACTGACCCTTACATGAGACCTCCAGCCAAGTTGGTGTAACATAAATGGTTTATCCTCTTGTCCCAATTCTAGTCTTTAGGACCAAGGCCCTCCATGGGAAGGGAATGTAAAAACAAAGGTCAAGAGGTCCCTGATAATTTCATCTATGTGTCACAGTCCCTGGACAAGTACCTAGCACAAAGGTACTTAAAAAAATGTTCAATGAATGAAACCCATGACCGATAATCATGTAACAATCACATTTATACAGTGCTTAGTTCCATGTCTACACCTACATAGGCTGACGGTAGGTTTCCCAAGTTGAAAATGTATTTACTTATGTATTTTTAACTTTTTGCTATAGGGCATGTGCACTTGCCAGAGGGAGACAGAGACAGAGTGAGAAATCACCCCACCCCATCCCCAGAGGGTAGGGAATGGTTCTGCAGTAATCTCTTCTCCTCCATTTTCCTCTCAGGATTTTAGGTACACATGCACACATGCCCAGCCTGTTTTTTACACAGCTAGGTGCAGGACTTGAACTGCACGGGCCATGTGGGATCCACCTACTCTAACCTCGGTATCATCCGCTGACCTTCAAGTTGAATATTTAAAGAGAAAATCAGAGCCTCTTTTGTGGAGCACTAACAAGACTGGACCTGGAAATGAAAGGATGGTAAGTGCTTTTAGCTAACACTAAGAAACACCTATCAATCCTCTTCTGAGTGATGCAAGTTCTGTTCATCAGCCCCAAAATACTGTAAGCATGAACTAAAAAGAGGAAGATAAATTATGCCATGTTAAGAATTGACAGGAATTCAACTTCCACACGACCTAAATGCATTTGGAGTTAATCTACTCTTTTGTTGTTACTGCTTCCAAACGACGGCAGATTATGCATTGCTGAATTTTGCCTCTGTCACACATGACCTAACAAGGCAGGCATTCATTATACCATAATGGATTCCCCCAAGTATCTGGTTCTAAACAGCTGCAAATTTTGGAAGATAACCCTAAATGATGTCTCTAATGATAAGTATGTTCTCTCCCCAACACATATTAAAACAAGATTAAAGTTTACTAGACATCAAACTGCCCAAATTAAACTGGCTGAGCATAAAGTCATAAAATAAAGAAAATTCCGGGGCTGACAGGTGGTATGGTAGTTGGGGCACTGGACTCCCATATGGCTGACCGTGGTTTCACTCCCAGACCTGGCAGATTGCTTTCTCACTTTCCCTCCCTCTCTCTGGTCAAATTAAAATAATGACAATAAATAATGATAAATAAAACTAAATCCTTTAAAGAATAAACTTCATAAAAAATAAAGAAAATTTCCCAAGAATTCCTATGTATTATACCAATACTAATAAAATAATTGAGCCAATAAATAAATTCTATAATATTTCTAAAATATAGCATTCTTGTTCTTCATGACATATGCTTTTATTGGTCAGAAAGACATCACATCACTAATGGCTGGTTGATTTAGTCCCTTCAAAAGCTGTAAGTGAATAAAATGACAAAATGTCTTAAAAATAACAATAAACCCAATCTCAAATTTCCATAAAACCATTTATAAGTAAAAGCTGCTTCCCAGACCCAAAACTGCAAAGCGTGGGTGAAGAACATCCTGCCAAAAGTAGAAACAGACTGTAAAAATGTTTCATAAGCATTATGGCTTGTTAAATAGTTATACAACGATACAGATGCACTGGCTTTTTAAATACCTGTCATTGTTTCTCAGTCACATCAGAATATACCAAGACATTTATTCTCCACCTAATATCTCAATTTCTAGAAGCAAAAATAAAAACTTGGTAACTTCTAAACAAAATAAGAGGGGGATGCGCTGTCCAAGAGCAGCGATTTTATTATCATTAATTACAGGTCTTTCGACTCACATTCAGTTTGATTTTCGTCCCTTCCCATTCCTTTGGGCACACTTCATTTGCACAGTGCCATGCAGTCAGCCACCTAAGACAGACGCGTGCCAAGCATCCTCTTCTTACCTCCTCCAGTTTCGTTACAAAACATCATCTTGTCAGGATCCTTTCCTTAAGGTGTAGGTTGACTAACACCTCCAATAACAGGGAGAGGTGTTAATCAGCAGTTTCACATTCATTCAAGTTCCTATCAGTCACTGTTGATCCAAAGGCTCAAATTTGACCATCAGAGCCTTCACTTGACTTTTCACCATACAATTTGATTTCTTAAGAGGAGGAAGAAAACAAAATGCTGTCAAATTCCCAAGACCATGGGGAGGATCAAAATAAAACTGACAAGGAAGTCTTGTTTTGGGAACTACCAGTCAAATCCAATAGTAATTAACAGTGGTAAATTTTTGCTTTCATTCCCTGCCATTAATGACCACAGCATAACATTCATCTGCAAGTCAAAGTAAAATCTAAAATGACTTTATCTTGTCAATTGCTTTTAAAGAGCAAATGGGTCTATACTGAGAAAAAATACAACTGCCATTACAAGTCAAGGTCAGTGAGGAAGGACTGAGGAGACTCCTACCTATGGAGGCCTTCTCCTGAAGACATTAATAGTAATTATGCTTCAATTTTAAGCCATCTACCTTCTGACTACAATCTACCAATAGTTACACGACGATACAGAGAGGAGGGAATAAAGCAGGCATCAATAAGCCACAATACCTAAAGCGGGTCAATATGGCAAGTGACTAGCCTCTCTTCTGGTCTGATGTCTTCTGAAAACTTTGGAAGAATAATAATATTCGTGGACAAACCATTTGTTTAAAAAATTCTGTAATTTCATATCTGAAAGCACTATAGACAAAACTTTGGTTACCTGCCGGGACAAGCAGTCCTGGGATATGTCATTACATTAATTTATAGTCCAGTCTTAGTAAGAACGCAAGAAGATGACTTTCTGCTGAGGCATAACCATAGGAAACCCTCAATTATCCATGGTAGATGGGGCGGGACAGGGACAGCCTGGATAAATGAAATTTTAAGGCAAATATTATCTAAGAAGAATGCTGGATTAAGTCAAACTCTCCCCTCTGCTCCTACTTTACAATATAAAAAGTTCATTTAGGATTTACTGTCCCTCCTGACTCGTCTGTAACGAAAATGCTAACAAGCAGATAGATGTGTAGCAAAGGGAGGGAAAAAAGGCAAACTGAAGTATCAGCATTTCAACTGGTTCTGTTTTTTCATTTTTCAGCAATTCCAATCACAAGCCTTTAAAAAAGCACTTATAGTAACACCCAACTATTTCCCACCCCACCCCGGAAAAAACCTCCTAACCTGATTTAAGTCGCTCTAAATCAAATGTGTCTTATACTGAACAGTACTACACAACGCTAGTTTGATAGGAAGTTAAAGAACTTCACGAGTATTACATTAAAATTGTAAAACGCTGAGGTCGAACAACTTTCGATTCCAATCCAGGCGTTGATAGAAGACTGAACTTCCTTTTTCTCCCCTGCGGGTCCTCCCGGCTCTTCCGCGCGCCAAGGTCCCCGCCCGAGGCCTGCAGTGACATCACGGCCCATCTCCTGGAAACCCCTGATGTCACAGACACGCGGACCCACAGCTCTGTGACCTCATCGCCGGCTCCGCCGAACCGCAGTCGGCTGCGCCAGCCCCGAGGCCGGGCAAACACCCGAGCCTCCACCGCGCCCGGTCCGGGAGGAAGGTTAAGGACAAGCGCCAGCTCACCTGCGCCGGGACACGGCAGGACGCAGCGGCCAACGCGACCCCAACCCGGAGCCTGCCTTCCCCGCCCGGCCGCGGTCCTAGGAGGGAGCGCCGACCCGGTGTCGCTCACGGCCTATCCGTGATCTCCTCGGACCCGGGACCCCGCTCCC